CGGCACTCTGCCCAGGGGGACAGCTTGAGGCTCTGTCTCAAAAAAAAAAAAAAAAACCCAAAAGCTCAAACCTAGACTCTTTCCTTAGCCCTTCAAGGGCCTGTCTGGCTGTCCCCTGACTGTTCCTCAGCCTCAATTTGCCCCTGTAGCTGCCCCGGCTTCCTTGCTGTGTCTTGACACACCAAACTCTTTCCTGCCTCTGAGCCTTCACACAAACTCCTTCCTCTGAGCCTGCTTATGCCCTCTGCCTGGAATAATCTCTGCCAGCGTCACTGTCTGTTTCTTTTTGTCTTAGCTCAAATATCCCTTATTTAGAGATGACCTCCCTGACCATGCCCCTGTCACAGTTCCTTTCCTATCAACACATTCATATTACCCATGATTTTTAAATTTTGTTTTATTTTTGTCTTTATCGCCCTTAAAAGTATAACAGTTTTTTAATTTTATTTTTTTCTTTTTTAAATTTCAGGTGAATGTGAGGGTACAAACAACCAGGTCACAATATTTGAATTTGTTAGGCAGAGTCTATCTTGTAATTTTATGCTACACCCAGAAGGTGTGCCATATACCCCTACACTGTGCCCATTAAGTGGGAGCACACCAATCCCCCCTCCTTCCTTCTCCCCCTCCCGCATTCCTGCTCACTCCAACTTAAATTGAATTGACTTTTACTCCTATGTGGAAGTTTATTAGATCGTCTACTGGCTTCACACTAGTTCTAGGTATAGAGGATGGTTTTTCATTCTTGTGATGCTTTACTGAGAAGAATATGCTTCAGCTCCATCCAGGTTAATACAAAAGATGTCATCTCTATCTTTTTTATGACTGAATAGAAGTCCATGGTATACATATACCATAGTTACAATTTTTTTTATTTGTTCACTTACTGGGTATCTTCCCAATGAGATTTGGAGACTTCATACAGAAGATACAGAGGAGTCTGGTCCTCGTTGTCTCTCCTTGCTGTTTCCCCGTGTATTAGTTTCTATTGCTGCTGTAACAAATCACTGCAAATTTAAGGCTTAAAACAACTTCTAATTTTTTTTTTTTTAGACAGCACCTCACTCTGTTGCCCAGGCCTCAGCTAGCTCAGAGCAACCCCAAAGTCCTGGGTTCAAGCCATCCTCCCAGGACTATAGGCACCCACCACCATGCCTGGCTAATTTTTCTGTTTTTAGTAGAGATAGGATCTTGTTCTTGCTGAGGCTGGTCTTGAACTCCTGAGCTCAAAGGATCTTTCTGCCTCAGCCTCCCAGAGTGCTAGGATTATAGGCACAAGCCACTGCACCTGGCTACCTTCCAATTTCTGAGGTCAGAAGTCTGAAAATCAAGGTGTTGGCAGTGCTATCTTCCTTGTGAAGGCTTTAAAAGAGAATGATTTCTCTTTCCCTTTCCAGCTTCTAGGGGCTGGTTGCACTCCTTGGTGCATGGCCCTTTCCTCCATCCCCAAAGCACCTCACTCCAGCCTCTGCTTCCCTCCCTCTTATAAGGACCATTGTGGTTATACTGGGCCCACTTAGATAATTCAGAATAATAACCATGTCTCAAGATCCATAACTTCATCACATTTGCAAAGTCTCTTTTGCCATATAAGGTAACATATTCATGGCTTCTGGGGGTTTGGAGGTAGACATCTTTGGGGGTCTGTTACTGGGGCTACCACATCCAGGTTCCCCAAGGTGCTTTGTTCAGCATTGGAGTAGCTGAACTCAGGCACCCTGGTCACAGACCACTCCTTCCCTCTGCAGGACGAGATTGAGGAGCTACGGGCCGAGATGCTGGAGATGCGGGATGTCTACATGGAAGAAGACGTGTACCAGTTGCAGGAGCTGCGCCAGCAGCTGGACCAGGCCAGCAAGACCTGTCGCATCCTGCAGTACCGGCTACGCAAGGCAGAGCGCCGCAGCCTCCGTGCCGCCCAGACTGGCCAGGTGGATGGTGAACTTATCCGTGGTCTGGAGCAGGATGTCAAGGTCAGCTCAGGAGCCTTCTCTAACCCTCACAGGTGCCCTGGTTAGAAAGTGGGACCATGAAACAGAATGAGGCCCAGGGGAGCCCAGTGTCTCACTCTCTATGTGTCTGTAGGCAAATCATACCACCTAGCTGGGCCTCAGTTTCCTTATTTGCTAAGTAGGTGTCCCTGGTGAGCTGACAGGCCTTCTACCAGGGACACCCCAAAGTGACATCATAATATGAATCCTGCTAACAGCAGCTATTGAGTATCTACTGTATACTCAGTGCTATGTGTAGGCCCAGCTCAGGGTCCTTGGATGTTTATTTATTGTGCTAATGGAGAATGGTGGAGGCCTGGAGGTGGACAAGGCTATTTCAAATCTGGACTCTAATATGCCCAAATTTTGTACTTTTTTTTGGCAACTAATCTATGTTTCAGTTACCTCATGCATAGAATGAGTTCAAGAGCAACCCCTGCTTCACAGGGTCTTATGAGGATTAAGCAAGATAATATAGGTAAAATGCCACCCATAAGCACTCCAAAATGTTAGGCATTATTGTTTCTGGATGAGGAATCTGAGGCTTAGAGAAAGGCAGTCCTGTCCCAGTCACTCAGTGCTCAGTGTGTAGGTGCCAGAGGCTCACTGGCCTCCCAGCCTCCTGCCTGGCTTCCAGGAGAAGCCCACCCTGTGTGTCTGTGGCATCCCTGGTCTGGGGGCTGAGAGCTCCGTGGGACATCCTCCCTCAGAAATCAGCTCAGTGAGGCTAGGTGAGGTAGCTATCGCCTGTAGTCCTAGCACTCTGGGAGGCAGAGGAGGGTGAATTGCTTGAGCTCAGGAGTTCAAGACCAGCCTGAGCAAGAGCAAGACCCCATCTCTACTAAAAATAGAAAAACTAGCCAAAACCAGAGTAGGGGCTTGTGCCTGTGGTCCCAGCTTCTTGGAAGGCTGAGGCAAGAGGGTTGCTCAAGCCCAAGAGTTGGAGGTTGCTGTGAACTATAATGCCAAGGACACTCTACTCAGGGTGGCAGAGACTGTCTTAAAAAAAGAAAAAGGAAAGAAAGAGATCAGCCCAGTGGATCAGGGGGATGAAGGACCCGGGGATGAGGCCCTAGCACCAGAGGGAGGAATGGGCATGAGGGAGGAGGCAGAAGGAGAAGGCTCGCCCAAGTCCCGCAGCCTTTCCAGTGGAATTAAAAAGAAAACAAATGTGCATTAAGGGACCAGCTGGAGCTATGATCGCGGAGGCCCCAGAGCCAGGGGAGGTAAACAGAGTCAGCTCCCTTAGTCTTGACTGTGCATAGTGGGAGTGTAGGTCTGTCGTACATTTGCGGAAACCGATCTCAGAAAGGGAATGCCTCCAAGTTCAAAGCACACCTCCTTGAGAGGGCAGCTCCCAGGATTATTCAAATTCCTATAGCTGGTTTGAGAGGAGTCGGGGAGGCTTAGGGTTAGCTGTGGTGGGGAGAGGTAGGGGTTGGGGGAAGCAGGGAAAAGCCAGAGGTGGTCATACGAATCTGCGTTTGGGCCGAGGCAGTTGAGGATTTCTGAGAGGGACACTAAGAAGTTTGACTCTCTCCGGAGATGAGGACTGGCTGGCGCGGGAGCGAGCGCGGCGCTGAAGCCGGCCGCGTGGGGGAGGGGCGCGGGCGCGCCCTGGAGCTGGGGGAGGCGTTCTCTTGCAGTCTGGGCGGAGGGGCCGGCCCCTAGTGTTGGATTTGAACTAGCCAATCAGCATCCACCGTGCCCCCTTCCCTCTCGCCTTACGGCACCCTGCAGCTGGAGCGCTGAGCTCATCCTCAGGCCTGGGGCCTGAGCCGGGTGCTTCTCGGCCTCCACCCTTTGCTCAAGTGCTGAGGATGTTCTGGGGACATTTTCGGAGATCCTCAGAATGCTGGCTTCCCTGACCTCGCCTGGGAGGGCTTGATGGACCCATGTGGGGCGGAGGTGGGAGCTGCCTAGGAGGGTATCATCTGGGGCTCTCCTCACCTGCTCCAACAGCTGTTTGGCCCATGCTCCAACTGGCCCAACCCCTTGGTGCCTCACTTTCATTTTCCATTAAATGTGGGCTTAGACCAGCTGAATCTTCAGAGCTCCAGTGGTTTTATCGGATGGCTGGCTTATTATTGAGGGGGTCATAAATGAAACCTCAGGCTTTGGTTTCCCCCCTCCAGATTTTTCCACTCTCTGCTGGTCCTCACGGTTGACAGAACCTACAGAACCTCAGAACCTCAGTGGGGACTTTGCCCAGGGGTAAGGGGCAGAGATGTCTGGCTTGGGTGTAGCACAGTGGTTACAGCGCCAACTACATACATCGATGCTGGTAGGTTGGAACCCAGCCTGGGCCAACTAAACAACAATGACAACTGCAACAAAAAACAGCTGGGCATTGTGGTGGGCGCCGGTAGTCCCAGCTACTTGGGAGGCTGAGGCAAGAGAATCGCTTATGCCCAAGAGTTTGAGGTTCCTGTGAGCTGTGATGCCACAGCACTCTACTGAGGGTGACATAGTGAGACTCTGTCTCAGAAAGGGGGGGGCAGAGATGTGAAGGTTAAGCACAGGGGTTCTCTATCTTTTTACTCAGGGGGCCAGTTGACTGTCCCTCAGACTGTTGGAGGGCCGGACTGTAGGTCCCCGGGGGGAGTTGGCTGCTAAGCAGGATAGGCAGCGGCGGCAAAAACACCGGCAGGCCAGATAAATGTCCTAGATGGTGTGCATGTGGCCCATGGGCTGTAGTTTGAGGACACCTGGGTAAGCACCTTGACATCTCTGAGCCTGTTTCCCTAGTATGAAAAATGGGAGTAAGACTAGTCCTTACCTCTAGGGACTTTGGTGGAGATAAAATAAACTAATTCAAGTGAAGAGAGTATTAAACACTAGGTCTGGCTCAGTGCCTGTGGCTCATGTGGCTGGGGCGCCAGCCACATGCACCTGAGGTGGTGGGTTCAAATCCGGCCTGGGCCCGCCAAACAACAATGATGGCTGCAACCAAAAAAAAA